CAACTCGCAGGCATTTTATTTAAGAGTTCAAATACTGCAAGCATTTCAAATTGTTTCCACGAACAAATTAAAGCCATGATTTCCATTACAATAATCATGAACGGAAACAATGCGAAATAAACAAATCCAAATATTACAGAATGGCAAAAATAACAACATCCAAGTCCAAAAAAAATGTAAAAAAGAAGTAAAAAAAAGTGACAAATAAATGAGAACATCTTAGTCAAAACAATAATAATAAAAAAAATCTGCAGAGGAGTGGGGAAGATCGAGGGATACGAAAATGAATTTGTGTACATTAATTTTAATTTTTGTATATTTTTTTTGTAAACAAGGCATCATTTATATGGAGATGAAGAAAAAAAAGGCGAGTCTGTAAGGAAAACAGTAACAACAGAAAGCTTTTTTGGCACAATGAATTAAAATATACAAAAAAAAACATTCGACGTATATAAAGATTATCATTTTTTCCAGGACACAACCAAACAAGGATGAATAGCAAAAAATGGAAAAATAGACCACGAGCGATAAGAATAGAGTAGGAAGGATGTAGAACAGAGCGTTGAATTTAATTTGGAGATTTTGTTGAAAGTTTTTTTGTTGCTGCTGTTTTTCGATTTTATTCGGGAGGTGTAATGAAAATGGGAAAGCTTACAAATTGAATCCGGTGTGGTTGTGAAAAAGACGCATATTAGATTGGCTGTTTTGTAGGTTTTCATAACGAATACAAGCTAAACAACATCCTCAATAAAAAAAAATTAAGTTTCTTAGTCTCAAGTTCAATTAACAGTAGCCTTACTTTAATAATGCGTTCTCCGAAAAATATATGACCGGTAGTCATGGACAAAAAGACATTCAAGTGCTTACAATTCTCAGAAGTTCTTCTCAGACTCGATAAAAGATAGAAAACAACAAAAATATTTCTCAAAGTTTTCATCATCTTCAGCACGCAAAATGAATCTGATATGAAAAAGATTTTTCTTCAACCTCGTTCATATTACAGCCGCGTACATCTTAAGGATAAAAGTTCGTAATATCAATTACAATCATCAAAATTAAATGAGATCCTGTTCATCTCGTGAGTAAAAGAATAAAAGAAAAGTACTGGACGTTATTTGTGGCAAAAATTTGCCATGCTACACTTCACCATCCACCTCTTAATCTGCTTTGTAAGATCAAGAAAAAGAATTTTTTTGGAAGTAACAAAGTTTTTATTGCGATAGAGACAGGGACACGTAAGTACGAATGAATGAAATTATGAGATTAATAAAAAAGAGAGAACTTCTTATTTCCTAATTTTCTTCCTTCATTCCTCTTGGGCATGTTGATTTCACTTTCCATTCATGATTTCTCTAATACAATTATGGATTTTCTTCTTATTTCTATTTTTATTTTGCGTCCGGATGAAAATCAGACTTTTAGGAATACTTGTTTGACTTCAGGGGTGTAGATATGAAAGAGATTCTTAATCCCGTATTTTTTGCACCCCCCCCCCCCCCCATCCCTTTTCCACCGTTTGTTTTTATCACTTCGCCTCTGCTCAGCTCTTTTTATGGAAATGAAATGAAACAAGAAATAAAAAAAGAACATTAATTTTGTTTGAAAATGCTCTTAAAAACTTATTTATTGTGGCGCAAGTGAGAGGAAAATATTAGCTTCGTAAAGTTTTACTTTAGAATTACTTAACATAAGGAAAAATGTGATGAAATTATGGATTTGAGGGAATTTCATGTCAACAAGAATTAAAATAAGATAATTTTTAAGCTTTGGGAAACGCAATTAGGTAGGGATATTTTTTTTTTGTTTTAAAAGTTATAATAAAAGTTGAAGATTTTCTAGAAAAATTCTAATCAAAAATTTAATTTTTGGACACAAGAAATATTCATTTCCTTAAAAATCGTCTGGAGATAATTTTATGATGTAGACACAATACAAATAATTCTTAATAAATTTCATTACAATTTTCAATGCCATAAACAGATTTATTAATAGAATCACTTTTTTCTTAAATGAATAAATAAATTGAATGAAAATGAAATTCTAGACTCAAATATTTTCTTTACAATACCAAATCTCATAAATCAGAAAATGTTTGACATTAAGGATTTTTAAAAAAAAGCTTTTTTCCCTTAGAATTATAAAAATTTATTGGAAATAAATTCTATGATTCTAAACATAATAAAAGTTTAAAGGAAATTGTTCAAATTCATTTTAATTTTACTATGAACTAATGGCCTAGATTAGAAATATTTGAAATTATAAAACTATCACAGCAATAAACATTCTAGAATCAGAAAAATCTCACAACTTCATTCAAAGGACTGAATGGATTATATAAATGGAAAATCAAGATAAATACTTCAAAAAAGTAAATTGAAAAATCCATCATTTCTGCTTTTGAATTGAAATCTGTTAAAATCTATGTACTATAAAAAATATTTTCAACATTTCTTTCTTTTGACATTTCAATATTATGAATGAACTTGTGTTTAGGAATTATGTAGGCAGCTCTCAACTATTCACTTTTCTGGTTGTTTTCTTTGTCTTTAATGCTATTGGTATTGCTTCAGACTGAAAAACACTCATTTAGGTCAGATTACAATTTTTCTCATTTCTTGTTGGCAAGTTCTAGTTTTAAATCATTTTTAAGGAATTGTTTTTGGGTTTTATTTTCCAATTTTAGAGTTTTACTGTTTGCCTCTTGGATATTCCCGGTATTGTTTGTCATGCTTAACAAACAAATTCTAACATGAATTTAATTATTTTTCACATTTAAATGTTCATAGTTGCTGTCAGCAACTAAGCATAGAAGCAAGATAGCTATCTGATGTAAAAATCCTATTTCAGACTCGAGTTGTGTCTTTTTAAATAATAAGCTTGGTAAGGCTAGGTAGAAATAGTGGAAAATTTCTTAATAAATACTTGAATCTTAAGCAGGCATCATCTTTTGTTTTTCTTCATCTAGTCAACCCAAACTAAAGGCAAACATCTATCTCATTGTTGTAAAGAGTCACTTCAAAAGTCAAAACTAGTCCAAACATTTCAAAATAATTCATTTCTATTTAATAAATATAGAAGCAAAAGACTCACTTCAAAAAAGCTCCATACATCTCCATGGAAATAATAAAAGAAGAAATCTTTCAGAATTAAATTAAATTTTAGTTTTCTGCTTCTGTATTCGCAATTATATTTTTAACTTTATCTTCAAGTCTTTCTTTCAAGGAATAAAAACTACATGCAGTTGTTGACAACAACAAGAAATTTCTTACATTCAAATTAAACACGTTTTGCTTGTTATATTTGTCATCATTTTCTTCCACTATTATGTTAGGAGGGAAAATAATGAATGAAAAATTATAAGAGCGTTGATAAAAAAAAAACAACAAAAAGTAAACAACTTTATTATTTCTTATTTGTTGAATCTCTTTCTTCTCCCTTTCTTTTTGTATTCATTCACATCACATCACAAGCATTGAATGCATGAAGACGTAAAAAAGGAATATGAAAATGAAAATTATAATGGAAGCAATTTTCTTCTCATTCGTAGCGTTTCTTACAATTGTCGTCAGACGCTTCACTTTTTTTTATGAAGAGCATGACGCTTTTTTCCCTCCACTTAGGGGCGCTTCTTTTTCAATTCATAAGTGTCGTCTTCACTATCGTCTTTTGTTATACGGTGAATTGAATTATTCAGGTTGGAGGAAATGAACCGAAAGTGGAGATTGTGGATTTTAGAAGTGATTTTATTTTTTTGGATTCGTGAAATTTTTAAAACTTGTTCTTGCACAGCGATGAGAGGTGTTTTTTTTGGTAAATTGATTTGAATTGAGGTAATTAAATGTGTTTGATTAATTTTTCACACTTTACATAATAAAGATTCTAGAAACCAGTAATCAGTAATTAATGTTTGTTGCTAATATCTAGTATTTAGGATTTATTGAAAGCTAGAAGTTAATGACTATGTAAAATCAGCAGCCACAGCAAAAAAAAATCTAATATCTGTTCCTTAAAGTCATAAAATTCCAAATAATCGTCATCTTAATCATCAACATCATTCAATTTTTTCTATCATTTTCAACATTCCAATGATCTTTTCATCCCTGAAGTAAAATCTAACAACAATTACATTACATATTGAACTTTTCTTTTCCTCACTCTAATGACAATGAAACTATGCTGTTCGTCTTTTATTGTTATTGCAACATTGAAATGACTTTTTCTCTTTCTGTTCTATTACTAGTCTCGATTATTGCTGTAATGCCATTGTTAAAAATCAATTTATATATTTTTTATTGATTGAACGTTTTCATTATTGTATTGTGACGTGATATGGATCTTTTATGTGTTTTGGAAAATCTTTTCGTTTTTGCTTTTTTTGATTGAGTTAAACAGGAAAGCTTCTATTTATCTTACTTTGTTTGATGACAAGTCGATGACATAATGTGAATAAGAAGGAATATTTATTGTAAGTAAATTTATTGAGTTTAAGGGAGGAAGCAGAAATTACTTTCATCATATTTGATGTGTGACGATTGTAAACTGAATTTTCTGAAGTGTTTAATGGTGTTTGACATTTGTGAGATGCTTGAAATGATGACACTTGATGTATTTGATCTGAGAAATGAATTTCAAATTAATTGCTAAAATAAGTAAACTTTTTAAGTGGATGTTCAGCTTATGATGTTCTATATTAAGCACTTAAATGTGCCAAGACATATTCTATGGATGTTTTGATAGTTTCAATAGCTGTAAGGGGTCGTTCATAAATGATATTCAAACTCTGGGTATGTGAATTCTTAAGCAGCACATGCAAGTTGTGTGACATTAGATTAATAAGTAAAAGTCATTTTTGAATTTCCCCTTCTTAATCATCAACAAACATTACAATTCTCCAATAGCACATAAAGCTCAATTTTCATTTAATTAATAAATTATCAATATAAATTCCTTATACAATTCAAAAGGAAATTTATTTCAACCTCCGAACTCAAAGGCACAACTCATCTCTGCATAATATGACTAATTTCCAAGAGACTCTTCTTCTTCGTTTCTGGTACATAAGAGATAACAAAACAAGCACCAAGAATGCAGTTAATAATGAAATAATATGAAATAGTATCCGAACCAAATGCCTCAAGGAACAATGCATGTAATTTGACTAGCACAACTCTAAATACCCATGAAAATGTAACACATAATGCGATTATAGTTCCTCGAATCTGTAATAAGATAAAAAGAGGTAAATTATGACAATAAGAAATTAATTAGATGGATAAATTGCTTACATTAAATGGACATATTTCAGATATTACGACGTAAGGTAATGAAACCATGCCGATGCCATAACAAAAAATTGTTATTGATAGTCCAATGATTGAAAGATTTTTTGTCATCATAAAATATTCACTGAGACCATAAATCAGGATACCAATAGCCACACCGATTGATGACAATGAAATCATAATCTTTCGTCCAACAGAATCAACAAAAATAATCGAAATGAGAATGCCGAAAATTTGAAAGAATTCAGCAAAAATTGCAGCAATTTCCGGTGATATTGTTTCGGCATGCTGAAATATTGTGCCAGCTTTAACAATGATGAAAGAGTATCCGGAAAATTGTTCCATTGCGACCAGAACTACGCCAATAATAATTGATTTTCTCACTGCCTTTGTCACTGCAAAAGAAAAATTCTCATTAAATATTATTGCTGTAGAATCTCGTTGTACATTTTTTTCTGTGTGCTGCTGCTCTCCTCCTCGCTTTCTGTTGCAATATGAATGAAATTTGGGACGGCACAAAAAAGAACGAGATGAAAAGTTGTTGCAATTATTATGGCTTAGCAAGAAGTGACGCATATTTGGCTTTATTGAAATATTTTTTGTGTAAGTAAAATTAATGTCTGGTGATTTTTTTTTCTTATGTCAATGTTCATTTTGGGGACTTGAATTGTTCTAATGAATTGCAATATTTATGTGGACTATTTTTTTTTTCGTTTTCTTTTGAATCGAATTGGACAGGATTGGTAGTTGAGCAATTTACTCAAGATTTCAAGATTTTTGGTGACTCACAACTTAGACTAACATGTTTGAACAAAAGCTCCTCCTAAATACCGAGTTCTATTAAAAGCATAATCTGAAGTAATGCATTTTATATCCCAACAAGTCAGAGCTCGAAGTTGACTCGAGATTTTCGTCTTCATACAAAATTTCATCGACTTCGAGCTCTGAAATAAGTCCAGAGAATGTCCATGCTTCGTATTATCAACATACATCAAAAGATTCCTCTAATAACTAACCAAAAGAAGGTCAGTCTGAACAGTCTTAATGGAATGCACTCGAATGATCTCTCTTGGTTCCACAAAGCTAGCTGGATATTTTTTTTTCATTTTTTAAATAAATTCGCAACACAGCAAAAACAAGCAAGAGAGCAACTAAAATGAATTGAGTATGGTGGGGAGAAAATGGCAAATAACATCAGCAGTTACGCCAACACCATGAGCATTATAAAGTGAAACGATGGCAATAATAAAAGAAATAAAAGCAACAGCAAAAATTGTCTATGAAACAATTCCCTTTGTGGTTAAATCAATCATAAAAGTTATGCGAGGTCAAAAACAAAATTAATGACAATTTTCTTCCTTTTTTTTCATTTGCTTCCTTGTTTTCATGACTGAGAGCCAAAAAGAAAATGATACAAAATAAACTGAAGCGATAGAGATTCATCATTTCGCGAGCATGAATAAAAAGCGAGGAAGAATAAAGAACAAGAAGAAGAAGATAAATGAAAGCTCCTTCCGGCAATTTCAGATATTACTATTCCACTGTTTAACCACTGCTCTCTTTTTTAGAAATGTTAAATTGTTGCCAAAAAAGTGTTTTTTACAATGGTTTCATGGGAATATTGGGAATATTATTAAATATTTTGTTTTGGAGGTTTGAGAATGGAGTTTTGTCTGCTGGTCAATCCACTTTTGTATTCAACAAAAGATTTTTTACAGAATGGATATTTCAGTACAGTACAATAGAATCGAAAACTGATGTAGATGCAACAACTTTTTTACAAACAAACCATTAAGTTCAAGATATTACTACAACTGCGCTTACTACCTTTCGTATGTCAATAACAACAGCAACTGAATTTTCAAACCATTCAATTCTCAAGCTGCTGACTTACAAAAATCGAATATTTTTATATCCCTATCCGTTCCATCGTAGAATTTAATAAATTGCTGCAAACTGTCAAACTCGACCTGAACACTATTGGTGTCCGCTGATTTGACGCCACGATAGAACATCAATGAGTTTTTGGCTTTCTGTAGAAAGAAAAAAAAGACGGTTAGTAGAAGATGCAACTGAATTATTTAACTAGAAAATTTACTTTCTCAAAAGAAATTTCATATTTGAAATGAATGAAAAAGTTTTTTTTTGCTTGCTACTCGTTCTGCTTTTGTGCAATATAAACATCAGCTGCACTTTTATGTGTGTATCTTTAATGTATATTGCAGGGAAATTCTTATAAAGGAAAGAGCAAACTTTATCAACTTTTGCTTCCTTTACTGCGGAATTCTTTATCAAAAAAAGTCGAGAGTAATCAAAAGAATCTGTATAATTTTTTATGATCAAGCTGTATTTCATTCCAAACTGATGTTTGAAAAGAAGGAAATAAGTTTCTTTGCATTATAATTTTATTTGAATATTATGATTGAAAAAGGAAGTCAAGACATTAAAATAATTGAAAACTTTTAACTAAGAATTATAAATGCATCTGGTTGATTTATAAAGGCAATAATAATTAAACGTCAAAACTTACACATGCACCCTCAGATCGAATTTTGTAGAAAGCACTTTCATACCAAAATTGTGTTGAAAATAAGTAAAGAGCAGGAAAGAGCATGAACATCCAAACAACGTAATAATAATTCAGAACTGATCCGAGACTCAAGCTGAATACAACACCGAAGCTCTTCAATAATGAAAACATTAGGCCAAGTGCACCACGATTGCTATAAAAATGCAAATTAAAGAATTGAGTTGTTGATTGGATTAAAATTGAAATTGAGATGACTTTTGGGTTTTGTCCAACTTTTAAGGCAGTAAAAGTTCTAAAAATTTCAAAATAGCAATAGTCAGGTCTATATTAATATTAACTGATACTTTATCCAACAAAATTTCTAGTCTACATCTCTTATCTCCCAAAAAAATCATCTCCATAAAGCTTTTATGTAACATGAACAAATATGGCTAAAAAAAAGTTGTAGCATGAAGCACACAAAAAAAGAACAAACAAAGAGTCTAAAAACAATGTATACAGCATAACTCACTTATCTTCAGCAATTTCGCAAACAAACAATGGTATTGTAATGGTAATTCCACTAGCTGCTATGCCAAGCACAAATTGTGAAGCCATAATCATCACTCCAGAATATGCATATGCAATTAGAATGTAAGCAATGAAATGTAGTGCAGATACCATTTTCAATATCATTTTCCTTCCGATGACTCTTGAAATGTAGGCAAATAAAACTGCACCCACTATTCCACCCATATTGTACAGGGATATGATTAGTTCCGTTTCTGTCAGAAAAAGAATGGAATGAGGTGTTAATCTAAAATGTAAATAGTTGGAGAAACTTTCTCAACCAGAAAATTTAATTTAAAATCATTTTTTTGGGCTTTGCATGTTTTGAGAAGTTTAACCATACCTTTCGGTGACAGAGGTCCTGTTTCGAGATCGCTTTCCTCAGATCCCAAAAATTTTGTGTAATATGATGGCTGTCAATATCATGTGGAATATATTTGAGGGAATCATGAAATGTGTATTTATATTAATGGATGTTAACTGTGGATTGATTTTTTTTTGGGGATAGAAACTCAAAAAGGGATGAAAAGAAAAAAACTCCAGAACTTCAGTTATGATATCCATTAGAAAATGCAACCCCTTCTCCGTTTCAAACTGATGGACTTGAATGAACTAAATCGCTAATGCCAACTTATATCCCTTTTTATGAACATCATTCACGAGAAGCCCATTTCTAATTTCGATACTTAACAAAATGAAATTCCCTTAAGTTAACTCCCATTGCTAATTCCTTATTTTTCTGAATTTTCATCCTACCGATGCTATACTTGCTCCCATAGAGAAAGCCAGTAAGTTAACAGAAAGTGCTGATAATATTTGACGAGTTCTTCCGATTCTTGACATGACTTGAAATTTTAAACCTTAATGCTTCAAAACTTTACACGAAATTAATTTGTTTATTCAACGAACATTTTATATGCAAAGAAATTATGTTGTTGACATTTAGAAATTTTTGACTGTTGTGATTAAAATTTATATATGATTAATTGCTCATATTCGTTTGAATTTATTATACAGGCATGATTTTTGTAAGGATCGAAAGTTGCTAGACTTCATAAAAAATTGATTTTAAGATACCTGAAGCCAAACTCAGTTCATTTCCTTTTTAATTCTTACTTATGATGCCCATTTATAACATCGCAGTGACGTCACTCATTCCAACCCTCTAATTCTCAATGTATTAATTACACTTAAGCGATCATTACTAATTAAGCCCTTTATTCTTTTGTACAATATTACTTTAAGTATAACATCACACTCAAAAGATGAAAAAGTCCTCTAAGACATGAACAGACAGGCTTACAACACAAAAGCCGCCTTTTATCTTCTTCATCTTTCATTAAGAGCTTTCAATCAAATTCGTCTCTTCAAAGAAATGTTTCTATTCTTATTCTCCTGCGGTGAAGCTGTCATGTCACACTCAATGTATGACGACCAAATCTTTAGACACAATGGAATGAGATGAAAAGAAAAAAGTTTTCTTAGACTTCATTGATTTAAATGTTCTCTTGGTGCTGCTTTGTGATCAATTTTTTCAAAAAAAAAATATATATAAAGGAATTTCATTCATTTTGAGTATCAATGAACAGAAATAAAAACTCTCTGAGGGATATTTTTGCAGACGCTTTGATGTGAACTCATATTTTCTTTTCAAGTTGAACTTGAGGGAAATTCTTTTGTGGCAAACATTGAAAATCATTGAATTGGAGATGGTTTCTAGAGCAACGGCTACTCAAGGAAAAAATATGACTGGAAAAAAATCTAATTCGTCATCTTTTGATATTGTCCGTAAAAAAATTAATAACGCTAAGCACACAAAACAGAGCATTATTCAAAAGGTCACATCATGTTAAGTATTTAATCAGTATTTGCAAAAATTTAAAAACAAAAGCCTCAAAAAATCACCCTAAGGGTCTTTTAATAATGAGATAAAACATGAAAGAGAACTGTAAGTACATCATTCATAAGTACATACGTGTCTTCAAGCTCTGTAAGACGGAGAATGTTACAGTGAGAAATGTTGAAAGGAACAACCACTCACCTGTCATAAAAGTCTTAGTTTACTTTACTTCTCTCTCTTTATTTCATATTAGAATTTATTGCCAGTTCGTCTGAAAATGAAGAGAATAAACATAAATGCATTACAGAAGATTGAGGAAAGTTTTAAGCTGCTGCTACTATCCATTATAAAGGGGATTACTTTTATGAATTGCGAAAGTTTCAACTTTTAATATTCTTTTCAAATGAAATGCATTAGGGAAGCATTTAAGACGAATTGAAATTTATTCTGGTCATTTAATTTTCCTCATCTCGACTTTCAAGATATAAATGGATGAAGCTTTAGTTGAGATTCTTATGCGGAACAATTTACTTAGCCATGAATACTTGAATAGTATGGAAACTTTAATGAAAGATTGAGAGTTGAATGAGGATATTGTTTAGCTCATAGTTTTACTCGAATCAAATTTCTATATCCTGTAGCTCTTTTTTCAGCCACACAGAAGTTTCAATAATGGTTGATTTGTTCACTGTCTGATTGAGAATTTATTCGAGCTGAAATAAGTCTTTTCCAAACATTCTGTCACAGACTCGACTATATAAAGGTGTATAGTCGAGCAAACACCTTGTTTCAACATGCTTGTGACATTATTTGCAGTCATGAGACGAACAATCTTAAATGCTGTTTTCGATATGTTCAAACACTTATTTCCGATCAAAATACTAAAGTTGATTAAAGCATTTATAGCTTATTTAATTCATCATTTATCCAACTTGCATTGCATTACTTCCAAGAACTCTTAAAACCCTTTTGGGATTAATTTCAACAACAAACTTCTTATTCTTAGTGTTGACATGATTTCAAGGCGTTTTCACATGTGTCCATGTCCCATCGCATGGCAAATGATTTATTGCTTGACATTTTACTTTATTTGCCTCCTTGTAAAACCCATTGAGTTCTTAATAAGTTCTTGATTGCGTAAATATCTAATGGCTTTAGTTCTATGTATCTCAAGAGTTCTTTTGGCTCTTTTAACTCACCACTAAGTCACAGAGGCCTTACTTTCGTACTTACAGATTACTCTACTCATTTTCAACACTCCAGATTCCACTCTGGTTCAACATCAACAATATTATCATTTTTTTGAAATCCTAAACATTCTGTTGACTGACCAAGTACAACATTTTCCTTTTTGTGTTAATTTAAAGGAACTTCTAAACACTTATCACTAATAAAATCATTTACATGCGAAAATGTAAAAAGTATCATCATTATCCACAATCAATGAAGGCACCCTAAAAGACGCTTCAATTTTCCATTAAGACCAAATATCACGAAACTTTTCCATCCGTTCTGATAAATGAATGAATTAGGGATAAAGTTTCATCTTTCTTCCTCTTTTCTCTTGCATGGCACGGATAAAAAAAAAATCTTAATAAGATTTTTGCTCTTCTCACTTCTGATGCTCGGTACATTCATGTGCAAATATATATAAATTGAAAAATAATACCCTTCTACATAATATTTTTGGTAAGTGGATGGAAAAAGTACAAATACAAATACGTAGCAAGAACGATCCCTTATCTCCATTAACGAATTAATTGAGAAGATAAACATTACCCTACTTATGTTATATTTGTGAATCAACAGTATGAACATTATCATAGAAGCAACAGTGTATGTGTGTATTGTTGTGTATATTACAATTATCATGGACGTCATTGGATCTATTGAGGTACTTGAAAATAACAAGAGCAAACACTTTAACTTAAAATCAACTTGAGTCCTGTATTCATTTTCCATAATAACAATAATAATAATAATAGAGTAAGTGGAAGGAGGAGAGATGGAAAAAAATTGGTGAAGATATGTAATAACTAGTAGGATGAAAGTCCTTATCTGAAAATTATCATCAGTTGGAATGGAACATAGAAAAGAAAGGAAATTGCTTTCATTTCTTTAACTTGTATTGTGAATGTGAACACGAGTAAGTGAGAATGTTGAATAACAGAGTTGATATTCCAAGAATTGCTTTCTAATCCTTAACATACAAAGAGTATTGTCACTGAAGTGGACTTATAGTAACGAGAACAAACATCATCAGACTTAACCAATCTAACAGTAAGAGCAACCTGATAGGATAAATGAGCACCCGCAAGAAGATTGCATGATACCATATACAATAATGTGCCCAGACAGCAACACTGCATTGAAAAGCACACAATATAATTCGCATTCTCACATTAAATTCAATTCAATGAAAAACTTTTCATCTCTAAAAGTTGGCGAACAAGAATAAACAGAAGAAAAATAGCATGCTGAAAAGTTTTTCAAATGATAAAAGAGGAGATGGTGGGAGTCTTTATAACAGGAAAATTGCCTTAATTGTTTACATAATTAATAGACTTGAGAATAGGAGGGAAGAATTTATGCATGCAAAATAAATAATTCTCCATATTATTAATGAGTTGTTGAGTGTGTTTGTGAATATTAAGTATAGACTATTATAGGAAAGTATAATGGCCTTATTTCCAAGTCATATGAATAAATTTATTGGAATGTGAGCTTGAATATCATTAAACTTTTAATGAAATTAAATGACTAATTGGATATTCTTTATTGTTTTGAAGTCTATTACAAAGCAGGATGTGCTGGAAAGTGCCTGTGTTTGAGTATCTATGGTGATTCAGAAGCTACCTGGTAACAAGAATCAAAGGCATAATTTACTAAGAATCTATTTAATTCTCTTAATCAATGAACCATCATTTCTTCATGTTTGTTCTGCTTTGGGTATTTTTGATGTTTTCTAAGACATGCCTAGAGGACAAGCAATAATAAGTTATAATCAAATGCAGAAAATATGTCTGAACCTGTAATTCTGCTTAAAGTCATACATTTTGTATTGATACTTTTTTCCTTCTCATGTACAGTAGCTAAGGGTGCTGGTTCCTAAATTATTTATACTAAACTTCAACAAACTTTTAATGTATGTACATCATATCCTGTTACAAAATAATTCAAGTTCATCAAAATATGTCAGTGATGATAAAGCTTAAAGCAAGGGAATTTAATTACAAAAAAATTTCACTACTCATTCATATCTAGTCATGTTATTTTAATAACATATCACATTCAATTTCCCACATATCTTCATTATCACAGTGCTGAAAGATTTAATTATTTTTTCCTTGTTGTGGTATCACATCATCGTTAACATAAACTATACAATGCATGTTCCAATTTTTATTTCATACATATTCTTTCATTTTGCCTGCATGAAATAATATTTTTTTTCTCGTTTATCAGATGACATGGAAGTGCTGAGAGATACACGAAAAGGGGTGAAAGTGTTGCTGCAAATTAATGAAACCATCGTTACGTTTTCATAATATGATATACAACGCTATCCTGTATCATGCAATTTATGAATGTGCAATTCAGAGTTGGGATCTTAACTGCATGAGATTCTGATACCGAATGAACTGCAGACATAAATACCAAAGTAATAGAAGATTGATGTCAATCGAATTAATAAATGAGTGAGACAAGTATCTGATCATCAACTCTGTGACAGCATATAAGCTGCTGATGTGATTTTAGATTCTGCTGGTTTCCTAAATTTAATATAGCATGTTCCGGGTTTTTTGAGGACAGTGTCTGATGATTTCATGAATATTTTATTATGCATTTGTATTCAAATCAAATTAAAATCTGGATATTCGGTTAGTAAATTTCCATACTGTTAAATTTTTAGGTATAAAGGTTAATGTTTTAATTTAAAGCTGCATAGATTTTAAAGACTCATGCACTCCATCACCTCATTTGTCTGTAACCGACTGATAAAATAATGCCTCAGACGGAAAATACCCATTCATCATCATAAATTCGATTACAGTTTAATCTGAAGTATTAAATAAGAAATTAATCTGCAGTACTTAATGTATTATAGCTTCAATGCCAATTGTAATCTATTGCTTATGATACTAATCGTTTATCTTTAAATTGACATGTGTAATAAATCATCGACCACAAATTATATTAGTCCTTCAGATTTATTACTATGTGAATGACCAATATATTAAGTTGTAATTACTTCTACTCAACATGATTAGTGTCGGTGTCTGAGAAAACTCTTTACAATAAATACAATATTTCACTGAGTTTATCGCTAGACACTTGAGATTATGAATCCATGAGAGATTGAACAAATTAATCAATTGATAAGTTTTTAATACAGTAACGAGTTGTAAGTAGAATGTGGATCTGATTGATCAGTTGAAAAGGAGCAGACCTTACAAAATATTTCAAATTATCGATTTTTAAATGTTTTCTTAAATAGGAATTCTTAGGAAGAAGACTTTGTGCTTTAATATGACCATCATCTTTTGGTTATTAAAAATTAAATCAAAAGCACTTCAAATTTATTGACTTATCAAATAAAAAAATTCCCCGGCTTAGGGGAAACCACACCTATATTATGATGCAACAAGGAAGCACTTACCCGAGTCACATATTACTTCATTGTTAAGACTTCCTGGACAATTAAAATGTAATCAAAACCACGTAAATTCCTTGAGTTGGAATTTGTTGCTGAGAATATTGATAAGATAATAATGAAGTGCTTCTAAGATTAGTCAAATGATTTTTAACAACTCACTTCAGTCATCGTTAATAGCTTAAAGTCTGAGAATGGAAAAAATTAAAGCTTTATTAATTTTTGCATTCTTAATTAACTCATCCCTTCAAAATCCATTACAGTCAGATGACATCTTAGCAGAAAACAAATCACGTGCAGAAGTAAAGAATTGGAAGATCAATTCGGGTTATTACGATGAAAAGAGCATTAAGAATGGATTAAATGATGATTCGACAACATACCGTCTGCCAAATGACACATTGCCAATAAGATACGATATTTATTTGAAGACAGATGTTGATAAATCCAATTTTGAGTTCGATGGACGTGTGAGAATAGATGTTCGTGCTGTTGAGCAGACAAATACAATAACTTTACAGTATAGAGACATAACTATATCAAAAGTTTCACTAATGAATATTTCGACAGAAGAAGTTCTTGCTGATGAACTTAATTTTGATTATGTATTGGTCTATGAGTTTTTAAAAATTGAACTGCCAAGTACATTGCAAGTCGACGATGAAGTTCGACTAGAAATTACGTACAATGGAACATTAAAAACTAACAATGCGGGATTTTATCGCGCATACTATACAGATGTAAATGAAACAACTGTTTACTATGCTGTAACACAATTTGAATCGACGGATGCACGACATGCATTTCCATGCTATGATGAGCCCGCTATCCGAGCACCAATAGCTTTACAAATTCAGCATGATAAAACTTATAGTGCATACTCAAACATGCCACTTTTCGAAACAATTCCAGTTAATGGAACTGAATATGTGATATCAAAGTTCGACGAAACACCTCCGGTTCAGACATACTTACTTGCATTTCTCATCTCACCATTTGAATTTGTCGCCAACAATGATTCGGAAATTCCACAGAGAATTTTAGCCAAGCCAACATCAATTGATAATGGTGATGCAGATTTTGCCTTGAGCATTGCAGACCCAATCATAAAGACACTCGTAAATCATTTTGGTGTTAATTACACATTACCAAAACTCGATCATGCTGCTATAACACAATTTGCAGCGGGTGCTATGGAGAATTGGGGCTTCGTAACGTACGCAGAGAGATATTTGCTGGCCACATCAACATCAAGCGCAACGGCAAGAAAAAATATTATAGCTACAATGGCACATGAAGATGCACACATGTTCTTCGGAAATCTTGTAGCACCGCATTGGTATTGAAAAACTTTTTTTTTCTTATATCTGTTTATTTTTATTGTGGATCAGTTGAAGTGGGAATTTATTTCATAAGAAAAATATGAGCAGCTATCACGTGTTGTGGATGATGAAGGTTCAATGTATCAAAAGATTTTTTTCTATATTTTCAATTTTTTTTTTCATGATATTTTCTATGAAAACAATCATAAAAGCTTCTTAGTAGGAGGAAAGAAAAACAATCGTAAATTGAAAATATAAGTTGATGGCAAACAGCTCAGTGTCGAATGACTTCCTGTAGGCTTTCTTAGAATCTTCTCTTGTAACTTCCTGATTTCTGCTTCAACTTTTAAACACAATCGTGAATTTCATAGAATTTCAATAGACATTTGTGATTTTTCTGGGATCTTTAAAGAGCAGTTTCGTTATTATAAACTCAAGCTTCTAACTTTAACACATCCTTAATAGTTCAATAATACAGTATTCCATTTTACAATTGCCAGGTGGTCAGACTTATGGCTAAACGAAGGATTCGCCACACTTTACGAATACTATATTCCCCACCTTCTTTATCCCAATGATGGATGGATGGAAAGTTTTCGAACTGGTGAAATCAACTACTCTTTTGGTTATGATGTGTTATCCCGAGCAGCAGCAGTTCCAATGCACAACTATGTAGAAACTCCATCAGCTATCGATGCTAGATTTAATTCCATTTCCTATACAAAATCTGGAGTAGTCTTGAACATGTTCAGAGAAGCACTTTCAGATTCTACATTCACAAAAGGATTGACAAAATATTTAAATAAAATGTCATTTAAAGCAGCAACTCCACAAGATTTATTTGCCTCAATTCAAGATGTTTTGAATGAAGAACTTCCTGAAAATAATGTAAATTTTGATAGTATTATGTCGAGTTGGGTCTACCAAGCTGGCTATCCACTTGTAAGTATTTCAAGAACTCAAGATGGAGTTTTGGTTCTCACACAAAGAAGATATCCAGAAGGAAGTAATGAAGTTTATTCAATTCCACTATCATTTGCAACTAAAGCACAACCAAATTTCGATAAGAAAACAGTCAGTGCTTGGATGTTAGATCAAAAAGTTGAAGTTCCACAGGAATCATATGGAATGAGTGGTGATGACTGGATTGTACTTAATGTTCAGCAAACTGGATATTATAGAGTCACATACAGCTCAGATTTATGGAAATCCTTAGCCAAAGGACTTTTAGAAAATCACAATCAATTCCATTTGGTTAATCGACGAGTCTTGTTGTCTGAATTGATGCTTGGATATTCAACCTTGAAAGAACTAATGGCTACAGATGTCCTTGAAGTTTTAAGCTATTTGGTGAATGAAAATGAATATCTTTTGTGGACAGATGCAAGATCAGCTTTAAGTTCATTAAATGCAACTCTTTTCGGAACTGAACTCTATCCCGAATATCTCGATTTTGTTAAATCTATCACAAAGAAGCAACTGGAGCTAATTGGATTAGAAGCAATTCAAGATGAATCAGCAAGCATTACAAACCTGAGAAATCAAATTAAGACTTTGAATTGTTATGCACTTGATGAAGAATGCTTAGACCATGAATTGCAAAAATTAACTGCATACAAAGAAGATACACAGGAAAACCCAGTTCCTGATTTCTGTTCTGGATTTAGAAATGTAAATCCGACAATTTATGTATACTATTTAAATGAGATCGCAGGAAACCTTCAACTTCCTCTCCGCAGTAGAATTGTAAGCAGCATAGGATGTTCTTTAGATGAAAATTTATTGCGTCTTACTGCTTTAATTGTAGAAGACAGTAAAAATGTTATCACAGACACTGAGCGTACAACAATAATAAATAACATGCTGATTAGTTCCACAGTTGGATTTAAAGTTGCATTTGAATATCTGGAAAGAAATGTCGATCAAATTTCAACATTCCGCACAAATCTTGGAAGTTATATCAATACAGATGACTATTCAGAAAAACTTGATGCTATGGTTGTGGAAGCACTTGCTGAAAGTTACATTACAGAAATAAATGCGGAAGCATTGAGAAATTCCATCATGTTGAATTTAGAATGGCAAGATAAGCAATTTAATGAGATTAATGAATGGTTCGGTAATCCTGCTATCACTACTACATCTGAATCATCCCCACCAACTACAACATCTGAATCATCCTCACCAACTACAACAGAGCCTTCAATCACAACAACACCAGGTAGTGCAAATGGGATTGTTTTGTCATCACTTGTAATTGTTGTATGCACTTTAGTGAAGCTTTTTAATTAAGAAAGTGATTCTTATTTTGCTGTGAACAACTTTTTAATTAACCTAATAAAGTTCTGCTGGATATTCAAGTTCTATAGGTTCTTTTTTGCTTAAGAATTAAACCAACCGTTTTTTTACTGTAAAAAAAAAGTAATTGAAGCAATATTACAGACTTGCCTACAAACTTACTCGCATTTCCACCTTTTTTCTTGGAAGGATCTTACTAAGTTCATTGTTGCTGCTCTTTTGCGGTCTAAGAGTGAGGAGGATTGAGGAATTATTTTCTTATGACATCCAACAAAATATGAAAGTTTAGACCAGCTTCCTCATCTTTATCTTAAAATCAGACATCATTTATGAATGGCTCTTTATAAGTTTGGGATATTAAAATTGAATTTAGAATTTGAGCATCTGCGATGGGAAAAAGCTCTTCTTGGATTTTTTTTATTTGCATGACACAGCCTTACTAATTTGTGTCGATCCAAATTTATTGAAGCAAAAATTATAAATATTGATTTTGGTTTATTGTTGATTGACTTTGTTCTTTAGAAACATTATTATTTTAATAAATACGTGCTTATTTATTATTACTTGCTTGCAAAAATTTCAAAGCCTGATTCCTTTAGAATCAAAATAATCAAAAAAAAAATTGTAAATTTTGTAATTTATAGCTTTGTGCCATAAAAATAATCTTTTTTTATCTCGATTTTTTAAAAATATCAATACCCACATATAGAGTAAGCAGTAATGGCACAAAGATGTATGATATTTTATTCAATATTTCAAAAATAGATTAAAACATCAAAGTTAAAATTTTACTGCGAAATAACAAAATGAAATACACGCGAATTCCAAACCTATCGAATATCAAATGTACAAATGTGACAAACTTCAGGTATTAAAAAAGGCTTTCAAATTCTTTGTGTTATTTCCAGAATCCAATTAAAAGGCATTTATTTGATGAAAATGTGAGCTTTTAGTGATATGAAGCCCATGCTGTACATTACTGAAAAATTGATCTTAAATTGCCTTGGCGGTAAATTTTAAGGACCTTAAAAATTATTGAGTAGAAAATGTTGAATTCGAACATTTTATAGTCTTAGATTTTTTTAGATGATGTCATTCTTAGGATAGATGACAGGTGTATATGCTGCGAGGGAAATAATTAGTTTCGATAATTTATTATTGCCAAATTGATGGTAAAAGCTTCTTAGTCTATGTTTCAAAAACTTAAAATTAAAGGGCTTAAAATTTTCATTTGCTTATTTTTTAATTCTCAACTTATTAGGCAACAATGCTTAATTTTAAAAGTATAGAGTTTAAAAAAGAACTCAAAACTTAGAGACATAGTTTAAGGGAGAAATAAATCTTTAAGTCATTTTGAGCCAAAAATTCTATTCTTGAAAGTGTAGCAAAAAGTCAAAAATCATCAGAAAAAAAAGTGAGAATCACGAAGCACATAAAACAAAAAGCCCGAGCTATTAAAATTAACAACACATCCTTTACAAAAATTTGATCTTTTTCGCCATTTAATTCTTTCATCAGCCTACATACTTTTTTCTTACGTTAATCTTCATTTCGTTTGTTTATTAACTTTCACTAATGTTTCCTTAATTCTTCTTCATTTTCTGTCTGCTTTTTGCTCTACTTTTCGCTGAATTTTGTGAACAATAATGACTATATTACAGCATCAAAACATTAAGCTGATTGCTAGGAATAAGAAAAACAAACATCAGTTTCGCATTTTGTTTTTTAAATGATGAAGATTTTCTCTTGTACTTCCTTTTTCCCTTTATTTTTTTGCCTTTGCAAATTACTTTGAGTGAATGGAAATGAAAATCTGTTTGACATGGAGTAGGAAGTAAAGATATCTACAGATCACCGTCCGGAAAACAACTGTGGGTTTTCGTTAATGATAACCCGAGCTTTTGGTAATTGATTTTGTTATAATAGAAAATTATTCACAAGTGCTTGAAAAAGTTTTAAGCTGTAGTATTGAAGAATGTGAAGTGTATTTGCTTCTTATGGATGCAGATTTGGTTTTAAATTCTATCTTAATACCGTGTGGGTTCAAAGTAATATCTGACTTTTGCGCTCAAAGCTCTTAAACTTGCTTAAAATGATCATTCAACTTATTTATCATTATTTATATTATACCTGGATAAAGCTTACAGTTGGCATTAAATATAGGTCAAGTGAATTAAATATAATAACAGTATTATCTGGGTTTTATACCACTTACTTCCAGTCATAACACAACATCCTATAAAATTGTGGCTTTTTTACAACTTCCAACATTCTACTCAAAACAATTTCTAGTGCTATTTCCTGAAAAGTTAGTAATAAGATTAAGGGGTCGTTCATAAATGACGTCGATCAAACAAATGGATTTTTTGTTCCTCTAAAATTTTACACAAATGTTTAAGTTTACTAAAGTGACAGTCAGTGACAGAACTTTCTTTCCTAAATGTTAGACATCATTTATGAACAACCCCTTAAAAATATTTAAAATTCCATTGCAGCAAGATCTCAAAATGAAATCCAAAACAATAATTCTCAATCATCTCACCAGGTGTCCTTCCAACAACACCACCACCTCATCAATCAATAACAATAAACGAAAATGAGATTGTAGCTGAACAAAGAGAGTCCCATTAGGAAATTATGTCGCCCAGAAGACAATGAATAAGTCCATTACTTAATAAAACTGTGCAAAGAGAAGAGAAATTCAATTAAATTTTTATGATGCAAGGAAATGATAATTGTTTGTATCATTTTCTGTTCTCCACGGGCAGTATAAATGCCAACAAAACAATAACAATAAACGAGGAAAGCAGGGAAGAGCAAACATTTTTCCCTTCTTTCATTTTTGGACAGCATGGCAAATTAATGGAGCTTTTCAATGTCATTGTGGATTTATTAGGAATTAAGTAATTTGGACAACATCTAATGTCATGCTTGCTTTTGTTTCTTTGTTGTGTGTTTTAAGGACAAAAATATTCAGAGGCTGTTGGTTCTATGCCATTCACTTTGGCTAGCTTGGGTTTTGTTGATATAATACCTGGAAGTATTGATGCTTGGCATCATCGCAATGCTCATCTTTATTCGGAAATTTTGCTTAACATTTGGTTAAAAATAAAACAAAATCAGATCTCTTTATGTTTATGATTTGACCTGGATTTGACCTAAATTCTTTCTCCTTATACCCTTTGAACTTCCTTTGATCAACTCAATAGACATATGTACAAGTTAATATTTTAAACATCCCGACAGGATCAAATCTATTTATACCTCAATCAAATCCAAAAATGCGCTTTCGTTGATGATGAAAGAACTCCATCCACGACAACAGAGATTATTTTTAAAAAAATCACCACCAGACACCAACATGGAATATTCCTCTTTAGCGCTGACGAAATCCAATTATCTGTTCTCATTTTGACACTTGGATGACCATGAAGAGGAAGTGACAGCAAAATATACAGAATATGAAAATGTCTTTCTTTTATCTAACATGCTAAAAGCATTTACAAGCGTATAAAAGAAATTATAAACAATATGGATGCTATCACATCCAGTCATTTCTGTTCGCTCTTTATACTTTTTTTTTTGTAACAAAATCAAAAAAGAAAGAACTGAATTTGATGAAGAAGGAAGTAACAGAAAAGTGGGAGAAGAAGAAAAGGCAAATAGAAAGACTGACGGTCTATGTGAATGGAGAGGAAAAAAATATTATTTTTGGGGCTCATTGAAAAGGCATCTGAGCATGAACCAAAGCAAAAGCATCACAGGAAAAAAAAGTTTAAGATTTTTACAAGCTATTTAGAGAATTTAAAGAATTGTGAAGAAGCTGTTGGATTAATTGAGGGTGTAAGCTTAAACTTTATGATCAAATTAGTAATAGGTTAAAGGCATCTTTGTATTCATACCGTGAGTCGGAAAGGAATGGTTGACTGTTCATTTTAAGAACATTGAAAGCAATTCCATTTTAAGGTAAGACTAAAGGTGAGAAATGAAGGACCCTTTTGCTACTTCCTCTCATAACAGGCTGTAACCGAAAGCTTTCCAAGTGTGCCAAAACATTCTAGAATTACGGAGTGAATGCAACCCAAATGTACTCTGTAACATTCGACTTTATTTTTTTATTTTTCTTCCAGCAAAAAAAGGATCTTCAAACAGATTTCATCATCAAACTTCCGCATTAAACTTTTATGAAAATCATATTTCTAACGTAAATTAAATTTTGGAAAGGCTTTTGAACTTTGTATATTTGAATTAAGGCATACTTAATTTTTTAAAGCTTCCGTATCCAACTTTAATCAAATTAAATGTTTGACTTTTATAAATTATGAATAATCACAATGAATGCTTAATCTGTCTACATAGCTAGATTGCGAGTGTCTTTTTTTCGACCTTATTTTTTCCAATTTTTTTTGCTTCGTATGATTTTCAAATTTTATAAAACTGTTACCTGCAAAATTAAGTTAACGGTTTTCAAAATTTGAAAATTATACCAAAAAAAGCAGTAGAAAAAACACCGTTTCAAATTTTTGAAATTCGGTTTTTTGATTGGCACTCTAAAATTTCATCGAATACAACTGGATTTAAAATTTCTGAAAGGTGGAAAAATGCTGTAAGTTTTTAATTTCATCACGAACTTAACATTAATTTAATGAATAATTTAAATTGCTTTTAATTTTCTAAGAATTAATTTCAAAAGTTTTTTTTAAGACAAAACTTTCAAAATTCATTCTTCTAATAAATCCAATTTTCTTACTACAATATGCCTAGCCTAAGTGTCTATCATAAATTTCTTATTCCATTTAGGTTTATTTTAATAAAAAGTAATATTCATATACATGATTCAGAAACATATGGCACATAAACGATTATGAATATCTATTTCGTGAGAAATGAAATAAGAAATCATAAATATAATATTTTAATGCTGTCTCATGCGAAGATATCCAAAAGAATAAAAATTCAATTTACGAGATTTGTTTATAGGAAGTGACATGCTCTAACATTTCGAAGTAGGATTTTTAAAGCTTTGGGTCTAAAAATCAAGTGGCACAGAGCGACTGTGATTCTGGTGACTTGTAAAAAGTAGCTAATTAGAAA